ATACATAAATATCAATAGTCAGATTTTTCCCCCTCTCTCTCAATTACTTATTCAAGATGGTTTTTTATACTATCTACTAAATTAAGGTAGAGGTCTTAATCTAAACTGTTCCATTTTTTTTGAATAATCAACTGAAAATCAATAGCACTAATTTTTTTATAAGCCTTTTGTTTATGATTTTCTCTACTATATTTTTTAGTACAACCCATAGGTTTATATAGAATTTAGATCAGATGAATTCGAAGGCCAGTCAAGCATAGTCAAGCATTCGAACATGTTAATTTTCGAAAAGCTGATATGTAACCTGAGCCATATGGACGGAAAAGTTGTTCTACTGGAAATGCCAGCCTCAACCTGCTTGTAATGCATTAGAGAAAAAGTGAGTTTCAAAAATTTCGCAGTATCTTTGTGAGTTAAGATTTTCTATAAATAAAACTAGTGCAATTGGCTCTTGTGGAAAAAATGCTCTCTATGCATGAATTTTGAATAGGTGTTTTACCATACTACAGTATGGACATGGGCTTCTATAATGGTACCTTACTTGTTATGTGTTTTTGAATATTTGTAGTGTTGTTTCATCAAAAAAAATCGTGCTAAACCACCTATCTTGCACATGTTTATGGGCCCATTCGAGATGGGCAGTAATATGGAAGTGTTAGAGATGGAGAATGCATTATAGTTGGCAAACAATATATTGGAGGTTCTTTTTAAGAACTTCCAGGATAGTACAAATTGATATATTTAAGTTGGGATGGGTTTCATTAAGTTTGACAGCTACTTCAGTAGCAGTAACTATATTATTGGCTCGTATGAGTTGCCCAAGATAATGATGCTCTTTCGCCATAAGAATTTTGGGTTTTTTAGGAATGGGAAGTGGAACAAGAGTGCTTCTTTTTTTGAGTTAATTACATGATTATATGTTGTGCTCTTTGGAAAACCTATAATTCATATGATTTCAGCAGATTTCTTTATACCATTATTTTATAACTGCCTTACAACCGTTTTTTGCATAGCGAGATCAGTGTTATATGACATTTTTCATGTCTAATACTAATTTAGCAGCTTAAAATAGTAGGTTTTTTATATAAACCAGTGCGCATGAGTCATTTAATATAAATAACTCATTACAAAAATATATTTATCCAGAATTCGATTGTTATCACACTTTTTTGTATAATGAAACAAAAGTCCAGATCTTTTTGCATCCACTATACAATGAAGTATATTATATAGAAATTATTTAAAATTATTTGTTTGAGACAAGTAAAAGAACCTATAATTTTACTTGAATATATTTTTTATAAAAAATTAATAATATAAGAATAATAAAAAAAATAATTATAACAATAATAATAAAAAAAAAAGTGTATAAAAACAAAGCTAAGAATAAAGACTATTATAGATCTTTTTTTATATAATTAAAAAGTAAACAAGACTTTAAATTTGCTTGATTTTGTGGCCATATGGCCCTAGATTTGGTAGTGTCCAACCAGTCGTCAAACCGGAGCATTTACTAGGGGGTGCATACCAACCTTAAGGGTCCCACTGATACATTAGGAAGGAGCAGTAGGAGTGACGTGAGAAGTCACTTATATAGATGGCTAATAGTATATGCCCTTATAAGAACAATAAAACCCATAAGCCCTATAGGTTAGGTAGTTTAAAACTAACAGTAGGATTTCTACTCCTATAGCCCCCTGGTATCACGAGAAAAGGTTATTAAGTAACAGGCTTCCAGGTACCAGATGAATAAAGTTGATAGGCTAGCATTTAGTTGTAGTCATGTATTATAAAGGATGCTTGATGTAATGGATACATTGTTATCAATAAAGAATTTGCATCTAATGCCGTTTAACTTTAAAAAAAAAAAAAAAAAATTTTGCTTGATTTTGATTAAAAGCTTTATTCTAATATAACAATAATTCTTAAAGTTTTTATGTTCTTAAGCTTATAATATAGTTAACATATTGAAAAGAGAAAAAAAAGTCTTTCTTTTAAAAAAATTTTCATAAAAGAAAATTTTCAAAAAATAAGTGATAAACAGGCAAGAGTTTTTTTTTATTACTAGCTAATTTTAACTTTTGTATAATAATTATATTGTTATCCTCAATGGCGAGTCTGTCACTACTCTGGGCCAAGACTTGTGCTACATTGGGGGAAGGGTCTATGTCGCTGGTGATACCAAAGGTATGTGTGGTGATAATTATCCTAATCTTTCTCTAGGTTTAATTAGTCTCCTTTTCTGATCTCTCCCCTGTTAAGCTATAGGGAGGCAGATCCTTTCTAGGACGACTAAATGACAAATAAGATAAGTTTATTAATTATCATTACACTGGTACAAGCAATTGAATTTCGCAAAGTCTGTATTTTATTAATTTTCTTGTCTCTCTTTCTATTCTGAATACATTGGCTATTTATACTATTGCGACACGTCTTTCTAATCTATCATCGCGTCATGCAAAATTACTAAACTTTTATAAACTTGGCGCCCATCAATCATACATGATTGATGCATGATCGATGTCCCATGCGACACTGCACCGGGCCCCACATGTCGCGTCATGCCCTCTATTACAATTTTTATACTAACAATATAAATATTTAAATTTATATACTAAATAAGATAAAACTTTATTGTTTAAGGTAAAATATTATTTAATCAACTTTTTATTAAGGATTATAATAATTCTTTTCAATTCTGTATTCGATTCTCAAGTTTATATTAAATTTAATAGGTAGGATATATCCCACCATCATTTTTAATAGTATTTTAAACCTTATATAATTCCTTATAATTTTGTTTGATTTCAATTTTTGGAACCATACTTTTTATATACTTGTTAATTATTTTTAGGTATATTACAAAATTATAAGCATCTTTTTTTTTATAAAAAAGTATCATATACAAGACTTTATTAATATATATATTGTATTTAAATTATATTAAATATCTTTATATTATTAAGCTATATAAATTAATGTTAACCTATTTATAATATTAATTACATACTTAATATACTTTATATTAGTTCTATTGCTAAATAATTAATATCTTTTCAGAACTAGTATAAGTACATATAACTTTATTGAATTGTTACTCGAATTAAATTATGAATTTGTTATTTTTATAATTGAATTTAGAAGAATTATATTATTTGATAAGTTTTAATGTATAGTAATTTTATTAATACTTATAAAGATATAAGAAAAATTACTCTATTTAACTTTTAAATTATTAATATATTAGCTATTATTGATTTTGATATTCATATCAGTAGTATAATAGTAACAAAATTTATTTTTAATTTTAACTTGACATATGGTTAATAATTGCAAATCCATATTTATTATTTCACATCTAGTTTGTTTAGACAGAATTTTTTATTAAAGTTTAATTTTTATTAAATCCAATCATTTTTTTATGTTATTCTATACTGATTATTTCATAAATGTAAGTATAAGATTCTAGATAACCAATATTTTAAATAAAAGCTCAGTTACAACTTGAGTAATAGTTATAAGTTTTTTTCAAACATTATTGATCCTTATTTGAATTGTGGAAATTAAATAGTAATAACTAGCTCCAAGTAGTAGTAATTATGATTTCTAATGAATTTAATAATCATGATGGGTTTTTATTTTCTGAAAATTGTTATTACTATTTCTAATTTCTTAACATTATATACAAAAAATCCAAATAAAACCTAATTAACATCCAATAAAATAGATAAAATATATTGAATACTTAGGTATATTAGTTTCTCAATTGAAAAAAAACAAGCTAAATGAGATAGATTTTCAAAAAATTTGTTAAATAGCTTTACTGTAAGATTTACATAGACTTAATATATAAAAATAATAGATAATTAAATTACCTTGTAATTTTAAGTATATGTACTATCTAATAAATTCAATAAATAAGCTTAACAGTATTAAATTTTTTTTTTTATTTCAAAATGTATATATTATATACTTTTGTATTTGAAAGATATGTTTAATTAGTGGTTTTTGTTTGTTTTATTGCTTCTAATAATAGTTTGTTTTTAATAGTGAAACATAAAGTAAACAAAAATAAGTGAAAATAAGTAATAAATATTAAATAATTTAATGATATAAAATTATCATACAAATTATTAGTTGGCTTCAGTTAATTAAAAAAAATTGCGATAATTTATAAATAACTATTACTGCCTAAGATATTTTTAATTAATAAACTTATCTTTTAAAAAACATTTCATAAATAAATTAATCATTTAAACAAGTTATAACAATATTTTTGAAAAAGAAACAATACTGTATAAAAAAAGAACCTTTTATAAGAAAAAAGTTTGAATAAATCAAATCATATTTCTTTACCAATGATACTTATAAATTTATCTTGACATTATATAAGTTGACCTTGGAATAGCAACAGAACCACCAATAATAATGCCTAAAGTATTAAAAATTAAATTATAAATGACTTATTATTCGAGTATGACTTTGATATATTATTATTATAAAGAGTCATTATGTATTGTAATAAAAAAATATTAAAAAAGCATAGATCAACTAGAAAAAAACATAAAAACGGTTTCTAAAGCAAATATTTTTATCAAAATAAGTTTAATCTTTTTATTTGATAAAATAAAACACTTTTAAATATAAATTATATTTGAAAAAGTTTGATATAATTTAAGTTAAATACTTTTAAGTAATCTATTATTATGGATAAAATATTCACAGTATCAGTATTTATAAGCAAATAAAATAGTACCATATGTGATCATATCAAAAATTAATTATAATTTATTATATCAGAATAATTTTAATTTACATTCGTAACTTCATGTATAGGTTCAAGAGCTAATTATGCTAAAACAAAATCATATCTCTACTTTTGTAGCTATACTTACAAATTTTTGCTTGCGTTCATTATGTCTGAATAAACTGATTATTTTTAAATTTAGAAGTCGAGTTTTTTTTAAAGCACTTTATTAAAGAGGGCCTTTATATATTGTCTAGCAGAAGAATTTAGATCGTATTTCATGTGCTGATCCCTCACTAACCTTCACTTGTTCACTTTCATTATCTCTCGTCATCTTTTTCCGTATTATAATTATAAAAGCGATCAGAAAAAGAAGGAAAAAAGCGCCACCAAGGACAATGGCTGCGATAATGCCACCTGTAAATATTTTAAGGTTAATAAATTAATTTTGTTTTTTTTTTTTGTTATTTACCATTTAAATTTGAGAGCTAATAACATACCTGATAGCGAAGACGAAGACGAATTAGAAGCCACAGGATTGGTGAGTACTTCATAAATACTCAAAGCCAAAGGTCCTCCACAAAGTTGGGAGTTGTTTCCACCACAACTCGAACCACAGTCTTCCGAACTGAGAGCTGTGAAGCTGTCATAAGAATTGCCACAAAAACATTGAGTTGCTACCTCTAACCCTGCGTATGTGAAATTTTTTTTACTACAATAGGCCAAACATGTGTCCACTGTCATATGATCTTTTTCGTCATGGGTAGTATCATTTAAAATTCTAACGTTGCAATATGGGCTGTCTTTAAAACAGCCCATATACCTAATGTCGTTTTTGAGATTTTTTAAGATATCTTTTTTTTTTTCGATTGTAGGTAATCCACCTAGAGGGATTTTATTTGAATCTAAGGTGGCAGCATAAACTGTGTATGCTTCCTCTCCACCGCATACATATGAACTATTACCAACACAAGGGGTGCTGCAAGATGAATTACTAGTTTTAATGTACGCCTTAAGACCATCTTGATTTCCGCATCGACATTGTGTCCCCTTGGTTAGAGCGCTAAAGGTAAAAAGGTAGTTGGCGCAAAAGTCTATACACAGCCCTGGGTCCATTAGAACTTTGTCTCTGTCTGTATATGGGTCGTGAAAACCTATTTTCGTAAGACCATCTAGGGTGTCATTAGCCAAACCGTCTTTTATAAAGCATCCGAGCGGGTCGGTTCTAGGTCCATCTCTTCGGGTCAGATTCCCCACACATTGGGACTTCACTAAATTGATGTACAATAAACATATAATGAAATAAAGTAAAAATTTTTGTCGTTTCATGTTTTATAATAAGAAAAGGTCAAATTATGGTATTTAAATTCAAGATCGTATGAATGTGTATGTTAAATCAAACAGTCAAGGAAAAAATACCAATGTTATCATGGATGAAGCTTGCCTGTTATATAACGACACGAAAAATTATGATTTATATGTACTATTTTAATGCAATTGTTAAGTATGTTAAATCTGGCTTCATATAAATACACCATATACGGTGTGTATAAATTAGGGTGTCCAGATTACAGTGCAGACCAAATATATCCGGTCCTGTACAAAATCGTCTGATTCGGCTGATTCCGCCGATTCCACCGATTTTCTTTGTACTGTACACACTATTACCGTATACAGTATACTGCATTATGCTAATTTTTATCATACTTAAGTTGTGGTTTTCACTCAAAATCACGTGACTATTTATTTTACACTATATGTTAAGACGATTTCGCCGATTTGACGTGACCAAAGCCGAAATCTGGACACCCTAGTATAAATGCTCATTTGATTTATTTTTGAAGTCGACAAAACGTTAGGTTTTTTTTTCCTATTTTTAAATAACACGTTATGTATACAATGCAAATTATTTAGAATCACAATTATAAAGTCAGAAAAAAACCTACATCGCGATTTATTATTCTCATTATGGAAAAGTTGTATTACGGATCATTTACTAATAGCAACGTACAGATTACTGTATACTCTAAATTTTTGAGGCTTGTGTAAATTGGTCTGTTTTTTTAAAGTTTCTTTTACGGTACAAAGAAAGCATTTGTTATAACGGATGAATCATTGCTTATACGATTTCTATTTAATGCAAGAACAGTGATTTTTTTAAAAACAAATTTTTATAGTAAAAAGTTTCAAATATTCTACCGTATTTGAATAATGAAGCGCTCTCGTTAGTTGGGTGATCATTACTACACCAGCAATACTAGAATTCATATTGTATATACGTGTATATTACTATTGATTACTGTATATATAGCATATTTTTTAAAAAGACATATAAGAGATAAATGAATAAAAAATTTTTTGTTCTGAATGAAAGTACATATCTGACACTTAGATAAAGTTAATGAATATTTTTAGCTATAGTATGTTAAATATTACATCGGAAATATGCAAATGATTATTTGACATGAACTTTTCCAAATTTTTCCTATTAAGATATTCACTGGTTCATGTCATGAAAAATTAGTTTAATAAACCAAATAAAAATTATATTGGAGGGGTTATTGAGATGAAGTCAGGTTGTGTTGATTTAATGTTGCTAGTTGTGTTGTGAGAGTTTTTGTTTAGCAGGGTAATAAGTTTTTCTCTTTTCTTGCTGATTGTTGGAAGAGCATAGATGCATTCGAATATGTGTGGTTGGTCCTCCGGGTGCACTTCACATCGTGGGCAGAGGTTATTTTCGTATAGGTCAGGGTATCTCTTGTGAAGTTTTGATCTTGTTGGTAGCTGGTTGGCAATTAGTTTGGTTCTGAATACTGACAAGCTCCTGAATTTTAGCTGATCATTTTTTTGCAATTTTTTATTTGCTTTGGAAACAAGTTCGAGAGCTGACATTGTAGTGGGTTTGTATATGGCTGATTGACTGAGCATGATGTCAAAGAATTTGGTGTAATAGTTGATGAACTTGATCCACTGTGTTATACTTGTGGAGTAGGTATAGTTTGTGAGAGGAGAAGTGTCATATGTGTCAGGAAATATTTGTGGGATTGGTAATTTGTCGCCAGGATCAGGTGGTAATGGTTTTTTAAGCTCTTTTTTTGTAATCCACTCAATATCGATATTTTTAACTTCAATTTCTATATTTATTAGCCTGATTAATCTGCTGAATGGTATCTTGACTTGTCGGTTGAAGTATTCCAGAAGATTTAGGTTTGGAACAGTTTGGAGTTGGTATTGGATTTTTGACTTAGATGGGGTTTCCTGAAGAGTTTTTAATAGGACTGGCCAGAATAGTACCCACGGGTTGGCATTTAGTTCATATAAGTGGGATGTATTCAGTTTTTGTATTATTATTTTTTTTGTAGTAAAGAATATAAGGATTGTGACAGGTATTGACAGGGTTCTGGAGGTTTAGTTATTAAAATTTGTGGCAAGAGGATTGAAGTAGGTGTGAATTGGATGAGAAGTTTACCAAGGTTGTTCAAGAGTACTGGCTGATTATTTCATATTGTGGTCCAGGTTGATCTGGCGTGGTCTATATTCTTTTCCTTGATGCATGGTTTTATATTGCAATTACATGGTATAATTGTTTTGTTGGGAGAAATATGGTAATGGTGCCCTTTGATCGTTTGTCTTTGTATTGCATTTTTTCTGATTTTAATTAGATTAATTGTACTGTTGTTGATATAGGCCCAGAATTGAGTATTTGGATTTGGTAAGGGGAGCGTGTTTCCTGTAATGTTGTTATCGACTTGTGGGAGGTTACTAATCCAGTTTGGAGTTAGACCAGTAGGTACGTAGCCTCTATGTGTATGGAATTTATCCCATGAAAGTTTGTGATGGCTGTTGTAGACATAAGTGCTTTTGGTTGTTTTGATATTTGTATAG